AAAAAAAGTACATGGGAAGTTAATTTGCAAGATTTTCAAACTTCAACGGCTTCTCATGTGTTCCTGCAACGGCTTCTCATGTGATCAGTTAACGACCAATAACCAACATTAACGGCTGTTTTAATTGCGGTTTTTCATACATGAATTCACGTCAATTACAGCATTAGCCATTTAACACGGGTTAATCATAGAAAATTTTCTAGAACAAAAATCGTTGGTATGCACATGGTTAACTTGCATAAAAGTATTCAACATTTTTAATTTGGCCAATTTTTCTATTTTATATGTTAACTTGCATGCTCATTATTTTGCTCACTCTATAAATAGCGTATGTCCTCCAATCGATATCTATCTATCAATTCACTTGTAATAAATAACAACTTAAATCTTTCTCTACCTTGTTCCTCATGGCCTACACTCTTTTCACTTATTTGCTTCTCCTTTGTCTCGCATTGTCAAATTTTTGCCATGGCTTCAACCCGAAGCTGCTAAACGTATCGAAATCTTATGGCCCAGGTTCGGGATCAGGCTCGGGCTGGGCGACTACCCAAGCCACTTGGTATGGAGCTCCCAACGGCTTTGGAAGTGATGGTATTAATATTTATTAGATCTTGAAGTATATTTTCATTTATGTATGAAACCTCGATTTATATTATATTATAACAAAGGTTGTTGTTGCATGCGATGATGAAGGTGGTGCGTGTGGATATACGACCGCTGTTAGTTCCGTGCCATTTTCTTCGATAGTAACAGCAATCGCTCCTACTCTTTACGACTCGGGCCATGGCTGTGGAACTTGCTATCTGGTAAATTTATTTATATGCTCCCATAAATAAATTTCACTTTTAACAGTATTAATATCATTGAAAAATGCTACAGTCTCGTGAGGGAATGGATTCCTCATATAAACCTCAAATAAGAAACTGGCACATCACTTTGCTTAACTACATCTAATGGGTTCATATATATCAAAATTAAACGATCTAATGACTTTCATTGAATGGAGAGAACCATTCCTCCACGAAACTGCAGCATTTCCCAATATTATTACATGCAGTGCTTTTTATAGGAAAATGTATTATTATTATCACGGAAAGTAGAAATAGTTTTTCTCATCATTGATTTTCATCTTGATTCTCTCTCTCTCTCTCTCTCAGTAATGTATTTATTGTTTCTATAGATAAAATGTAGTTCGTCGACACATTGCTCGGGGAATACGGTGAGGGTTGTCGCCACCGATGAGTGCCCTGGCTGTGACCCTAACAATCACTTGTTTGATTTGAGCGGCACTTCTTTTGGACTGATGGCCATTTCTGGACAGGAAGACCAACTTAGAAAAGTCGGAAACCTGGAAATTCAATATCAAATGTAATTTTCTAAATCGATACCAATTTTAATTGTCACGCCGTTTTATTTTACTCAAAACACAATCTTACAAGACCTCACGAAAATTTTTGTAAAACATATAGTATTTATGTTACACCCTTACATGATTGAAGTTAAATTAATGTATTTAACCAGGGTGGAATGCAATTATCCGGGAGTTGACGTGGCATTCAGAGTTGACACAGGTTCGAACGCAAACTATTTTGCGGTGGCCATAGAGTACGAAGACGGAGACGGGCTCACAGGGGTCGAGCTCAGGCAATCCAATACCGCTAACGAGTGGCTCACAATGACTCAACTTTGGGGTTCCGTTTGGAAAGTGGACCTTCCCAACAACTATCCATCACCCTTTTCGATTAAACTCATACAAGGCGACTCAACAATAATCGCCGAAAATGTTATACCGGCCAAATACGCAACCGGAAAAACTTACACATCCAAAGTCAACTTTTAATTGAGACTTGGGTTTGTTGTGAGTTTTTCACCCTTTTTTTATGCTTGTCCTTTTCATGGATTTTCTGTTGTTAGGATTTAGCAATCGTGTTGTGCTCAGGTGGATTTGTACTGCGAAACTCAGGAACTATTTAGTCAAAAGAAAGAGCTCAAGAATAGGTTTGTTGGATGTATGTAGAGAAGACCATTGGTTATGGTCCAGTCTCTCGGCTTCTTTATTTGCCATTAATAAAGCTACTGTTTTATTTAGGGTCTTCTTTCTTTTATGATTTAGCATTCTGGTTGGTGTTTGTTTTTTTGTGTTAGTTTTGAGATTTTTTTTGTTTTTTAGAATATGTTGTTATTTAGAAGTTTATAATATTTAAACAAAAGCCAAGTTTTTATAGCCATTTTTCACACACCAAAATGAAATATAATATCCATACATATAACTTATACTCCCTCCTTTTTTTAATAGATGTCGTTTTGAGAAGTTGTACACTAATTAAGAATATTTTTTTTGCCAATAATAACCCTCATTAATGAGGATAAAGATGGATATTTTGAGAAAAGATAAAAAGTGAATATGAAAAGACGTAGTGTATTTATTAGCTAGATATGGTAATAATGGAAAAAATATGTACTCCCTCTTATTTTTATTTGCATCTGTGTATTAGATTAAGTACTAGTACTGTTACAAACCCGGATAGGCATTAAAACTTCAACAGTAGATTCAATTTAAATGTCAAATATTTTTTATAAATAATGTATAATGATTATTAATATATGTTATACAACTTTTTTTATAAATAACGATATATATGATACCTAACTAAACTAGTGGCTCGTTGTGCAGTAAGCAATATTAAAGATGTCTGCAGTATGTAATCTTGGAATAATATTTCATAAAGCAGACATGATTCATAATCATATTACTTCTCTGATATCAGATGATGGAAGTACCCCAAGATACATATTACTGCCTAAACAATGAGAACATTATAAAATGAAAATACCCCAAGATAAATATTACTGCACATTATAAAATACCAAAGGTTACTAAAAAAACAGAAATAAAAGAAAAGAAATGAAGTTGTGCTCGGATACTATGGAACATATAAAGAACAACTTCATAGAGACCACTAAAATCACTGTCAGAAGCCAAATTACAGACACAACGGTCGCATTTCAATGTCTCCATCCGTATCAAAGACAAGCAGGATAAAATTATCATATAACAGTAACATAAATATAGAGCTAATCCTAGCTCAAGATAGACCCCAAATTCCATCTCAATAACATACCATACAAGAAGCTCTCGCAACACTAATTCGCCCCTAACATTTCTTAAATGAAAATTATTCCAATACTTCCAAACACTAAATCTTCTGTTTCAAAACCTGGCGCAGCTGGACCTTCTGACTCTCCAATCTCGCCTCCAATAACCGAGTCTTGAGACTACTCTTCTGTGCACCTCTCGGCCATTCAATACACCCTCTCATTGTTCGATGATTCATGTGCGGGTTACCCGAATCAGGCGAGCTCCACTGACCCGAAAACTCCTGCGGGCTAAGCCCAAGCCCAAGCCCGTTATTCGGAGAAAACACACTCCCGTTAGAAATCCTCCCGTTTGACGACCTCCCGTTTTTCCCATCACATCCATCCCCATTATTCGGACAGGACCTCCACAGCTTAGATATAGACGAGGCCCTCTTGATCTGCCTCATTCTGGCCGAGTCAACCTCCCTTATCTCAACTATACTCCCCGCTCCATCCTTTTCCCATTCGGCCCCATTCCTCGAAACACATCTGGCGCGGAAATTCCTGCTATTAACCGAAGGGTCACTTCCCTCGGGCGAATAGCTCGACCCGCGATCCTCCTCCGCATGGCTCACAGTCTCCCACTCGCTAGCATCCCCGCTCTCATTCCCAACAACCTTCACTTCCGGGCTCACCGTGTGAATCTTCGAAGCCCGGCTAGTCGGGCTATCTTCCAAAACAGAGAAGATGTCGTCTGCATTCGGAGGCTCGTACGTCAAATCCCGCACGTCGTGCATGCTCAGCGATCTCGCCACCTGGACGAGAAACTCGGCTTTTTCAACCTCCATAGGGCCCGAACTCAAGAACGACTCGAGGCCCGCGACAAGAGCATTCATCTCCGCGTACTTCTCTTCGAGCATGACTTTGGCGTCCACGAGCTTCATCTGCACGCGCTCTTCCCGCCAAACCTCGGCCATCTGCAGCATCCGCCTCTCCTCCTCGACTTCCTCGCGGAGCCTCGCGCACTCCCGTTTCAGGGCCTCGGCCTCGGCCTTGTCCTCGCTCATCTCCTTCGCCAGCTCGTCACAGACCTCCTCGATCAGCGCGCGGTCCTTGCGCTCCTTCTCGTACTCCTGCGCGAGGCGCTTGGCCGACAGCCTGGCATCCGCCAGCTCGTCGACCAGCTTCGAGTTGACAGACTCGAGGCGCTGACGGTTCTTGCGCTCGCGGGCGAGCTCGGACTTCGTGTCGTCGATGATTGCCCTCACCTTCTCGTGCTCGCGGCTGCGCCACGCGGCTCGCTCTTCCCCGAGCTTGCGGAGGAACTGCTCCAGCTTCTTTTTCGAGGACCGGCGTTCGGATTCCAGCTCGTTTATGCGGGTTCGGGCACGGTCGAGCTCGGCCTCCAGGGCGGGAATGACAGTGGTGGTGGGGCCGGAGCTGTTGAGGTGGGGGGGTTTGGGGCGGGTGAATATTTGAGAGTTCGACGCTTTCCAGCCGTGGGGGTCCCACTTGGTTGCGCCTTCCATTGCAGGATTTGGGAACTGGAAAGACGGGTCCAACTGCGAAAAGTGCTGACAGAATTTAGAGTATATGTGTATAAATCACAACCCAAGAGGAAAATTTGAATTGAGTAGAGCGTTGGTTATAGAAGTTCCTCTTAGGCGTGGCCCAACTATGAATGCAAACAACCTCAACTCGTGGTGGTAAAAACATTCCCCTAGTATGTGTTTTAAATACCCCCAACTCAGGATGCAATTCGTGACAAGTATTATGGGATTTCTCAGGGGGCGATGATTGGCTACAGACTAAATCCAGTTTTGGGTAAGATTATTTTTTTACATTCTTTAACTCAAAATCCAACTCAAATTTAATCCAACCCAACTCTCCACAATATTATCAATTTAATTAAATAATATCAATCAATCATCCTCACACATCACATCAGCTTTAATTCATTATTCATCCCCTCACATATTTTTAACTACCTATCATTTTCAAACCTCTCATGCTTTTACATCACATGAACTTTAATCATAAAATTTAAAAATTATTTAAATACAAACTGAAAATCTCACTCAATCCTCCATTCAATCAACTTTATTTAAACTTAACTCACTTGAGCTCAAAATCCAATCAAAACCGGTTTTCATTTATATCCAATCGCCCTCAGTAATTATGCTGGACTCAAGACTTGTGGTCTACAAAATAACTCTTAATTTTATGTCATGTAATACTTCTAAATAAACAAGGTACAGGATGCAATGTAGCATTACCCAAATTCATCTAAAAACAAAGATAGGATCCTATTCATGGGATGCAATATGTTTTGTCACCCATCTATGTATTGCATGGCGCACTTTTCTAAAATTTAATGGGCCATGTATTACACAGATTGGCGACAAGTCAACGATAGGGCGCTCCTTAATAGAGCCCTATCTAGTTAGTTTTATAGAAAGACATTGCATGGAGTATATGAAAGAGTCCCAGCATATGTTTATAATATTAAGCCCAACAAAACAAGTCTACAAGACACACCTCTATTAGTAGGTTGGAGATGTACATTCCATAATCCAATTCAATCACAAAAGTTAACTGGCAATGGAACACAGTGAATAAAAATTTGTACCTTATTAAAGAGAAGCTCATGTTTTGGACCAGACATGGATCTCGGACTATGCATCAAATCCTTAGCTGGTGAACCATGAACTCTATGGACATGATGACAATGGAATGAGCCTCCAAAATGGCCAACTCCAGAAGACTGCAGGTTAGACGAGAAAAAGGTATAATGACTAATGAGACTATGGATGGCCACTTGGCACCCATTCTTTAAATGGCTTTTCCAGGGGCAGATCTAAAACAAGAAGCTAACTCATGAAACCAATTGCTGTGAAGATGCAATACAAACTCATTTAAAAAAAATGGTCCCAAGTTCTACATGGTTACACTCTTCAAATAAATGAGTATAGTGCAAAATTAATGTTAGGGCAGATTCAAATATTAAGACCCCAGATAAGAGTTCCTTAACCAATGAACCCAATAAATTGAAAAGAACATAGCAATTAAAATTTAAAAGACACATGCAATTAGTTCACTATGTTCTTTATCTTTTCACTGGATTACATTGCAATTCAAATCCCCCACCTCATGGATAATACTAATAACAATTAAATGGAAAATCTAACAAGATTTAAATAATAAGAGTTGAATTATAGCTTCGAAAAAAAAATATCTTCATAGTAAATATACCTGAATCCCTCCAACCCTTTGCCCAAAATTAATCTGAAACTCCGGCGTGTAGAGGCGCCACAGGCCAGCGGCGAGCTTCCTGGCCGATACCTCTGTCTTAATCGTCAGCCGACACTTCCGGCCAGCTTCGCTGCCTGATTTATCCTCCTCTGCGGCCGTGAAATCGTCGCCACGGCCCTCATCGAACTTCCATCTAAGCAAAGGAGTCTCGGGCCGGTTGCCCCGTTTCGGGGGCGGGGCTCCGGGTTCCCTCCTAAGCCGGACTCCGGCGCCGGGAGCCTTCAACCGCCGTCTAGGCGTCCTGCGTGGGAAACTTGGCCTGTGGGAAAGATCTGATGGCGGCGGAGGTTTTGGAGGGGCCTGGATTTGGGCGGCGCCGGTCCTTTCAACTGTTACCTTCATTGTTGTAGCTGGAAAAGGTCCGCCATTGCACGCTGATTCACTCACCTTCGATCTCTCTTTTTCTGCAGGGTAGAGACTAGAGAGGAGATGGAGATGGGCTGTGTGGGAGTGTAGATTGTTACGGTCAACGTCGTTCCTCCTTATTTTACATCCAAAGATCAAACGTTGGATTTTGCCTTTTGGTATAATAGATTAGGGAGGACCACTGCGACGTCGTATGCTGATTTTTTTTTTTTCCTCCTGCGACGTGGAATTTGGGTCAAAATTTGGGAAAATTTTATGCTACATGTAAGGCGTATCGGCCCAAATATTTTTTTACCATTGATTTTACACACACACATGTAAGTGGGCGAAAGGACACATGAATGCTCTCCTAAAAAATCTTATCCAAAAATACGAGACTTTTAAACTAATTCCACTTATGGGTTCCAAAAGGGTTAACTAATTGCACTAACCTGTTAGCAAATTCCACTTACGGTGACAACGCCTGTTACACACAATCATTAACTTTTATAAACTCTTTTAGATCATTTTAAGTTTGTCTAAAATTTATTACATTATATTTACACTTTATTAAAAACTAATTTAAATTTATGATTAATGTTACATTTATTATCTAGATTTTCACTAAATCATAAAAAACTAAATAGACAAAAAAATGCAAAAAATAAGCAGAATATAAACAATAGATGAAACAAAAAAATACAATCGTTCAACTCAAGATAAACAACAAAACTGCTTTCACAGAAAACCATTAGAATACTTATTTTTAATTTATTATAAATTTATAAATCATTACAATAATACAAATTATAAATTTAAATTTATATATAGTTTATTTTTAGTTTATTATATAAGAAAAAATCAGTTTAATATACAATAAAAAAATTATATATAGTTTATTTTCATTTTATTATAGTTATAAAATTAAAACTTTTATACACACAAAAAATGTAAATTTATATATATTTTATTTTCAGAATACATACTATTGATAAACATAATGAAATCATAGATCAATTAACACTCAAAAAACTACTTTATAAAAAACATCAAATAAACATCAAATAAACACTAAAAAAACTATTTGAATAAAGCTCTCAGCTTCAAGAACTCATAAATAAACGTCAAATAAACATCAAATAAACACTAAAAAAACTATTTTAATTTTTTTTTCTAAAAATTAACACACGTAAATTAGAAAAGGGGAAATCAGAGCCATCGAAAAATAGGAAAACGCAACCCATGACTTTTTTCGACCTTCGAATCCCCATTTTCATCTCTCTTCTCCTCGAGCAGTAAAGTAAGCGAAGCCCTGCCGCCAGCCCATCTCTTCAAATCCTGAGTCTAAGGTTAGCAGCTTCATCCTAGAAAACGTCTGAAAAAACCTGCTACGGAACTACCCCTTCAAAACAAGATAACAAAAGCCCCTCTAAATCCGAATAGCTCAGCAGAGTAAACTTTCCTCTCTAGTTAGTGTACTCGTGGGACGAGGTACGAGGTCAATTAATGACTCCCTCAACCTAGTCTCAAGTCAATAGAGTTGAGCGATGGCAAAGCGAACACTCTGAATGTAGCTTCACCGAAAGTCGCTAAATCCAAGGGTTCGGACAAAGGCCTAGGGATCACTGGCTGGCTTAGCTCCCTTCTTTTGCTTTCAATTGGCTACTCTTTCGGGCTACGCTTGTTTTCTCCTCGTTGATAACACCAGCACAAGCTCCTGTTTTCTCGACCTTTGCAATTAGTTTCGCCACAAATCTAGGCGAATTTTCGTTGATGTGCTCAGCGTCCAACAAGCTCATACCCACGCCAGTGCAAGTAGTCAAAAGCATCGATTGCACTTCTGCTTTGGCGACTCATGGGATCCCATCTAAATAAAGTGAATGAGCACATAAGCATTTTCATAAATCGGGAATGTGGGCAAACTCTGAATTAACAACACAAAAACTTATCCCATGCTTCATATTTTAGTTAAAAATTATTTAACTAAAATCAACTCAAGATAAAAATCAAATTAATCTTAACAATCTACTTTCAAATAAGTTTTTTAAAAATTATTCAAGAGTGATCCAACAAGAGCTCTCAAACAGACCATGGCGCCGCTGGAATTTTTATCTTCAATTTTTTCAGATATTAAATCCACAACAAAAAAATAAATTCAAAATTTGCGAAACCCTAAATCACTAACCCATACCTGGAGGCGGCAGACGTTGCCGGCGGCGAGAGAAGGGAGCCGAAGAGGGAGACGATCTCGAAGAGAGGGCGACGTTGGCGGCGATTCTGCTGGCGCTGAGATGCACACCCTCTGCTGGCGTCGGAACCACCCACGACCAGAAGGCGGAGCCCGAAGGAGAAGGCCGCCCATCACCGATCCAATCCATGGTCGGAGGAGCGAAGCAAGCCGCAACGGAAGGTGGAGAGGAGGGGCGCCGAGTACTGAGATTTGCTTCTGGAAAGGAAGAATGAAAGCCAAGAGAGGAATTGGATCTAATTGACGCGCTTTAGGCTTTGGAAAAATCGTTGAAGTGGAAAGAAAAACATAAGAATGATAATAAAAAATTAATCTCGTATTTAAGAAAATAAACTTATGACATATCGTCCACCGGGTCATTATTTCCATGTAAGTGTGTGTGAGTGTATGCATATCAATAGTACAAAAACATATGGGGCAGTAAATCGACTCTCCAATTTTTCAACAATATATTAATATTGTAAAACGATAATTTTTAGGGAATTAATTTCGTTGAATTTGACTTTGAAATTTATATTCCACCCACTTATGGGTTATATATTATCAGTTTTGCTATGGAGTCGTTGGATAGTTCGGCTTATAGAGCCATCCACACTTATTCACCAATAGTGTATTGATACGTGTCCTGCAATAAATACACTTTAAACACGTGTTAATACATTAAGTGGTGGATGGTTCATAAGAAAACCATCCGATGGCTCCATAGAATTTTTGTATATATGTATGGTATGAGATTCTTCTAGTCAGATGATGTTCAATTTCACCCATCTTTCAAATGTATTTATTTGGTACTATATTTTATTACTATTATTGACAACTCTATGAAAATTACACTCCCAACTTATACACAAATTGTAAATTTCCAAATTTCCATTGAGATCCTTAACAACAATAAAATTGACAACCATAAGTGTAATCTCCTTCCCCTTATATATTAATTTAAAACGTGCTCAGCCTAAGTAGCAGACTCACATACATCGAAATCTTATGTGGCAAAATTATTTAGCTTCGGCTTGGGTATATTTTAATTTACTTCTAATCTAAAAATAATTAGGTCCGGATTATCCATAAATAGGTTAATTATTTATGGTCATGTTACATGTAGTAATTGCATTTTAATATCATTTCTTATTATAACCATTAAATTGTAAATGAATTATAAAAGTTAACTATTTTTTTATTAGTTTTACATATATATTATATATCAAATTAATCATCTCTTGTTGAGCTTCGATTTAACATCCATATTGTAATTATAAAAAAAATAATTTATATTTACCTTTATAACAATAATAAAATTATTTTTTATATTAATTAGAAAAATAAAATTATTTATCAATTAATATATTTATATTTTAAGTAGTTATATGATATAAGTTATAAAAATTACTATAACATAACAAATGTAAGTCACACAAATAACAAGTGTCATTCTAAAATATAATAATATATATTTTTTGTAAAAAAGTAAATAAAATGTAAAATAATTTTTCTCATTTAAAATTTAAGAATAATTTTTTAACAAACACCCGTGTAACATAAGGGTGTTGTACTAGTATCCTTTCGGTACAGAAAAATCAAATAATCTGTTCTAAGTTTTGTGGCCCGAAATGATTTAATTACAATACATTTATAAGTAGTAAGGTAATTTTTGATAATCAACCGATTGCTGATAAATAATGTTTGAAAAATAAAAAATTTCTAACAAGTAGTACTTGGAAAAAAAAATAAAAAATTAACAATTTAATACGTAATATTTTATCGAGGATTTAATTTCTACTTAAAATTAGTCTTTCTTGCTGTCTTAATTAAAATAATAATGTCTGAAATCTGAATTTGAATATTTAACAAAAAGAAAAATCCATTCAAATTTTGGGGCGGTGCCCATATATGTAGCATGAAATTTTCCGGAAAATTGATAGCACAACTCTATCTTTCCAGCTAAATTTATGTAATTCTCAACATTAAAAAAGCGTTACTTTTTAAAAGGATCACGTTTCTGGTAAACTAGTCTCTCTTTCACATGCTCCTTTCATCTCAATTTTGGTAAAATTAATTGAGAGAGGGCAAAAAGATATGAAAAAAATTTGGGGATGCAACAAATAATTTAAGAGGGGGGCAAATTAAAATTTTTAATTATAATAGTAAAAAAATTAAAATTTGGAGGGAGGGTGGAGGGGGTGGCGGAGAATTGTCCCCCTAGTGATACATGTAGTTTCGCTCCTGCCCATCGCTAAAAACAATACACGAAATAAGATCTTATACGATAACGAGTAGTCAGTGTAACGAGTATTATACAGGTATAATTAAAACTAATATTTTTCAAAAGAACTTATAAATATAATTAATTTTTTTATTATAAATATTTAAATACTTCATAAAATATTATATTATTATTTATATTTGGTTGATTTTTATAAAACTATATATTTATATTATTTTATATATGCAATATAGATGTCGAATAAAATATTGTCAAAATGCGATTAATTTGATATGTATATACAAAATACTAATAATAATAAAAAATTAATATATTTTGAAATATATTTATAATTTAAATTGATTAAGTGTTTATTCTTTTAAAATTTCTAATAGATAAAAGTTTAAATCTTCATGATTACCACTAGAATTTGACACATAGTATTAAGAAACACTACAAGTCAACACATAGACTACAAAGCATCAATAGTCGATACATAGCTCGAACTCTGCATTTATATATACGAAGTGATGTATTTAGATTGTTTTACTATACGTCATTTTTCTGAAAAATTAAAATAATATAAAGTAATAGAATTTTAATTACATTTATTTTAAACGTATATATTTCTATACAAACATTATGTTGTGTTGTTATTGAGTGTAAATTGAGGCACAATTTTTATTGTGAGTAAATGAACAAATTGATGCTTATTCTTATTCTTCCCAACAAATTGATGCTTATTCTTCTCAACCACCTCATCCACCATATTCTTATTCTTCCTAACAAACCAAAATGTCAATGATATTATGCTTTCTTCACATTTGATGAAGAACACAAAAAGAGAAGAAAACACGCAGAGAAAGAAAGGAGAAGGAAAGAAAAGGAAAGGAAGAGAGAGAAGAAGAGAAAAGGAGAGAAAAAAAAAACGTGAGAAAAGGAAAGAAAAAGAAATAAAAATATCATATATATTTTTATTTTTAGTGCTCAATTCTCAATTCCGTTCCAGTTCGTTGGAGCTCGTAAATCTGGTGTGCTACAGATTTAGAGACGTTTGCCGTTGTATCTTTGGGGAAGTTACGCCTGAACCGTTAGCTGCCACACGGGGCGTATTCTTCTTGCGGAAAGAGTATTACTCGCCTCGGCTAAAATATTTCTGTTTTAATTTATTTTTCAGTTGTAATTTATTTTTTCAGTTCAATTGTAATTTTCTAATTTTAGATTATTTGTAAGAACTGAAAAAAAAAAAATACATATCAGTTGTAAGAACTGACAAATTAGAGAATTATTTCAAATTATAAAATAAAAAATATATTTATTTTTATAAACTTTTTAATTATTTTTTTATAATTAAATACTTATGTTTAAATAGGACTTGTACTAGTAATAGTAGTTCGAAAGGCAACTATAAGCTATGACCACCCTTCGTAAATAAATTTTACTTTTTAACAGTATTAATATTATTGAAAAATGCTACAGTCCCCCGGTGAGAGGTAATTATTTCAATATATACGTCCCATCTAAGTTTAAAGAGTAAAACAATGCATGTGTTGATGTCGAAAATCGGACGATCAACTATTAAATAACAGTCGAATTTCTTGTATGGAAAATCAAGAAGAAAGTGACGAAAATGTGTGCTTTATTTCTTATCTTTTTTGGAGAGTGTTTCCTCGACAAGCTCCAAAATCGTAGCTGGCACCCGCACCGACACCACGGATGCCGGACCCCAGCAAATGCCGACCTCTACCCACATGATAATATTCCTAGGCCTACACTCTGCACCGGCCCGAGGTAATTCTACTCTCAATTTCGTGTTAAATACATNACACCTGACAACATATACTATGTAAATCAGCAAATGTTACAACATATAATAGCGATCTGGAGATAGTCACGTGGGCTGGATGGGTCGGAAATCAGCAGGGGACAGATGCAAACAGCATCCAAAGCATTTTTATCTATTTTTATTTATGTTGGATTGTAGCATTTTTATCTATTTTTAGTGTTCCAATACATATTCAATTAATTTATTTTTAAGGTTAAAAAATATATTGACTCTGTTCCACCTTCAGTACCATAAATATATGACACCACAAATATAATAAGCGATATTCCCATGGAGTTTCATATATCAGCATTCTTTGGTAAATTACCTATGTGCACAATATGACATCTATATGATGTGTTGTAATTGTAATATTATGAATAAATGTCGTATTTAATTTTCTAATTTTAATGTTGCAGAAGCATTTAATTAATTTCACATTAACTTAATTAAGCCCCTCTAAATGAACCTACAATTATTTGGTTTAGTTAGCAATAAAAAAAATTGTTTTTAAAAATTTTGAAAAGGGATGTCCACCTATTATTTGATCAAAACTTTGTTCAAGCTGCAATTACTAACACTAGTAGTGAAGAATAATATTTAAATAAAGTTAGATAATGTTTGAAAACCAACTGGCCTGGGCTTGGCCCAATCATAGTACCCGTCCAAGAGCGTTTCCCTTAAAATTTTAGAACGCCGAACAACAGAATTTAAAGGTTTCCTAGTTTATGGGCTGGGCTTCCTTCTGATAGGTTTGTATTGCTAGAATATGGCTAATTTACATATCTATTATCTCTTATAAAATATTTTTTAAAATTCAAACATTGTCAAAAAAAAAATAGTTTTTACATAAAAATATATTTTTATTGTAAATTATGAACTTTTTCTTCTTTAAATATATGTTTAGCTTTTTTGTAGTTTTTTGTGAGTTTATGTTATCAGCTCCTTTGATAATGCAATTTAGTAATATACTAAACACAAACTGTTACTAAACATCAACTACACAATCTTCCACAAACATAAGCAAATTAACTATCCATAAACATTTCTCCAAAAGTTGAAATATCATCAATCATACATATATTGTGTATATAAACTACAATTCAGAATACAAATTCCACCAGCAGTTAAATTATACATGTTAACCAAGCCTCCAGACACTGATGAAGC